TCTCTCTCTCTCTCTCTCTCTCTCTCGCTCACTCCCTGCACAAGCGAGGAGATAACTGTGAGCCGGATTCTGCGACCGCCAGGCCTGAGATGAATGAATCACACGGGCTCCGCCCGGGATAGGAGGACGGGCCGCCCCAGAAGCGGATGTCGCCGTCCATCCCTCGTCCCGCTCGTCCTGCTCCGCCCCGCCCTGGTCCTTCCCCTATCCCCTCCTGTACCCCCCCCCTCTCTCCCTCAGATCCGTATCAAGCGGGGCATTGTGTGATGCATTAGAGCGCCCCACCGGCTGTTCTCTTCCCTCTTTTGTCTCTGCCGCTCTCCCATCCGTCTCTCTCACTCCGCCCAGCTTTGCCCACCTCAATCCCAACCGCAGCGGCGCGGCGGCGTCCTCCAGCTCGACGCGATGGAGGGTGAAAGAGACTCGACTCCGCACTCCATCCCCGCGATTTGTGCGACGGCGACGGCGGACAGGCGGGCGGGCGCCCCGCCCCCACCACAGAGAGAGCGAGAGAGAGGGAGATAGCGAGACAGGGAGAGGGAGAGAGAGAGAGAGAGGGAGAGAGGGGGGGGGAGCACCTAAAGGGGCATCTCCCGCGCGGCCTAGCGCGGAGTGGCGCGAGCGACGGCGGCGGCCAGGGTGACAGAGTACAAAGGCGACAGGCCAGGCCAGGCTGGGTGAAAAAGAATTGCTAATGATGACTGTCGCCCGGCGCGGCCCGGCGAGCAGGAAGACGCCTGTGTTCGGACGTGCTTCCCCGGCCCGGGCCCGTCAGAGGAGAACAATGTAAAGACGGCGAGTCATGGGCGCTGGCCGGCCCGGTCGCGCGCCACGGTGTCCCGCCCTCGCCGGGGGGAAGTCCGCGCCACGCTCAACGCCCTCACTCGCTTTTTGCACCGCCGGCGGGAAAAATGAGGGAAGCGCGGCGCGGGAGGGCTTTGCGCCGGGTATACGGAGGGAAAGAGTCGAGTCCACTCTGCGGGGAGCGGTCGCCGGGCTGGAGCAGGAGCTGCTGGAGGCTTCGACCAGCCGTCACGGGACGGCGGACCTCGCCAATTACAAACTACTCACGCGCTGTATTGACGAGCGATCGTTTGCTTCCTACCTACGCCTGCCGTATGCCGTTAGGTTCCCCAGGGATCATCCAGAAAGTACGTCCATTTTTCTCAGATACACTTCGAAAAATTACGATAGCTTCGCGCCTGCGAGACTAAGGGTAGGCCACCCCGCAGTACACACATGCACTGCGGCCAAGATATTGCCTACCCGCCAGGCGCTATGAGAGCTTCCAGTGGCTGGACTTGGCAGTTTCGTAACGTCGAATATGGAATGGCGGACGTGCTTTCTGGACGATCCCCTACAGGCTAGGTGCTACAAGGGGGCCATATGGCCAGAGCGAAATAGGCAAGCTCCACTCGAACACCTGCACGCGCGCCAGTGCGGGGCTGACATGAGCGCCCCGCTTTGTTTGTTTTGCCATTTGGCCGGGTCGCGATTTTTCAGCGTGCTAATATATTGGCCCGAGACTGCAGCAGCAGTCCTCGCCCCACAGCGCCCCACCGCAGCCCACGCAGAGGGGGCTATCCTTGCGGTCTAAGGGGCTGCTGGGCTGGGCTCACATCAGTGCGGTCTGCTGATCGGCGGGCGCCTCGCCTTGGCACGGATGAAACAGAACAACAGTGAGAGCAGCAGGGAAGGGGGAGGTGAGGGGGAAGGGGAGGGGGATCGCCAAATTCGCCCTTGAACCCGCTCGCCCAGGGCAGCAGCCCGCGAGATGAGAAATAGCGCGCGCCGGGGTCCGGGGCCCCATCTCATGCCTCATGTCCGCCCGGATAGCGGCGCGCCGTCTGCAAATCTCATTCCTCGACATTTCAGGACGACGCTCAATTGAACTGACCCTATCCCCCCCGACCGAGCGAGCTTACCCCCCTCTTCA